GGAGAGTTTGATGTCTAACTACCCTACAAACAAAGCTGCATATTGCATTGTTAGCCAACCTGGGATGTAAAAATTCCAAGCTCTCAAGAGAAAAAGCACAAACAGCTCCAACCCTTCCAGAACATACAAGTGAAACAGAAGCTGATACGTGTGGTAGTTTACAAGGGTATAGTTGGTTTTGAAACTCATTACACTCAAATAGAGCTACTTAAATTGTCTGCCTTAAAAATGTGTTTTCCATAATCGATTATACCCCAGTTTGCCTAAGACCAACTATTCAACAATACTGAAAAAAAAATTAAAAATCCCTTCATATGGTACAATTTACTTGGATTTTTTTCCTAGAAAGTGCTCATTTGAAATATCAGCAACTGTTTGGTTTACCAATGCAATAAAAGTCTCGACCTGAACCATGCAGCTCCTGAATGAATGCATTAGACTCGATATCTGGTATCTTCAGGTGTACGTTGGGGTGCTTTACCAAGTTGTTTTGGTTTTTTTTTTCATTAGAATTAGACCTTGATTTAAAATCAAAGTAGGCTTGAAGCCCCTTTGCTTAACTGTTGCACAACAAGCCAGTAACTTGCTGATGTTTTTAACTACAAGCTAGCAGGGCTCCCTCCAGCATGGATCCTACTCTGAAAATATCAGCTTAATTGGTAGTGTCACATTTTGCCAGCTGGGCACTGTAGTTAGGATAGGCTGAGTATAAGTAATTCTAGCATTTTCATCCAAGTGCTTTTGATGATTGAAAAACAAAAAAAACCTAGCTGTTCAAAATATTTAGGAATGCTGTCATTAACTATCGTACAAGTCTCCACTTTCATTCAGCAACCTCATAGCTGCAGCATCCACATCGAGCAGTCAGGGTCTTTAAGCTTTCTTTGATTGCAATTAAGGTTCATTTTAGCTTTTTCTTTTTTTCCTTTTTCTTCTCTTTTCTTCTTTTTTTTTTTTTTAAGCCAGTGTGCCATCTTCTCTAACCTGTACATAAAGTTTGCTAGCCCATTTTAAAGAAAAAAAAAAGCATTTAAAGGACATGAAAAAGTGATCATGTAGCATTTGAAGTAATTTCTTCTGAAAAGTTTGGCTTCTCTAGATTGCTGATCTGTAATAATTAACACGTTTATTTTTCTTACATCTATAGCTACAAGTATCCCTCTCCATTTTAGTACTCTCAGAGTACTGAAATGCAAAAGCAAAGCCAGTTTTGTGGCTTTTGTGGCCAGAATTCTGGCAACACAATGTATCCAACTTTTCCTTTACAAAAGTACAACCCAAACAGGGCTCCATTGGTGGGTTCTCAATTCTCTATCCTTTTCCTCCAAATTTATATACTTCCCATGAGCCCATGCAGTTATTTTAAGCCACAGAGAAGAAAGGAACCACCAGCCCTTTGCTTAAGTGGGTAATGGGACAAGTGATGTTACCAACTTTCTTGATGATATTAAAGCTTTTAAGCTTTCAAGCATTCAATAAATTATAACAATGTACCTAATAGGTTCCTCCTGAGAATACAGGTACATCAAGGAGAGCACCATCCCCCACAGTTCATCTCCATTCTGGGTCACCTCCGTCACCTATGGGTTCTGGTAGTCCCGGGAGAGGCAGGGATATGTCCTCGAAAAAGAAAAAGGGGCTGCTTTCCAAAGGCAAGAAACTGCTGAAAAAGCTTGGTGCAGTGAAATGATTCATGTGCTCCTGGACAACTTGTAAAGCTTCCAGTCTGTGTATTTTTATTTTTATTATTTTTTTATTTTTAACGTTGAAACTAGGGCTTTCATGACTATGCAGCACAACCTCCCAAACCTTGGCATTTGTATCTCTGGCATCAATAGAATCGTGTGATTTGCTTAATCTAAACAGAGAGTAAAAAAGGAAGTGGATTTGTTGTTTTTTTTTCTTAAAAAAAATAAAATACAAATTGGTGGGATTAAGATCAGAAGAACATGGTTTTATTGGAAGTCAACTCAACACCTGCAACTCCATTGGATAAATCTCAGCCTTTAGCCTCCTTTAACCATGAGTGTGGGGGGAAGAAAACTCTGCTCATTGATTCCTAGTTCAGAGAGATCACCCCACTGTATCTCCTCATTATCCTTAACAAAAATGGTCTTGAAACTCCTAGTTTAATCAGCCTTGATGTTTTGCCTTATTAATGCACAATGATTTGTACTGTCTAATAAATATACAGCGTATACTTTGTATGTACTGTGTATTCAACTGTCTTCATCTTCCCTCCAACATGGTAATTTAAGATCAAGTACTATGTTACTGACTCCATTCACTGTCTGATGTAACTCCTGGGAGTTTGAAAGTGCTGTGCTAAATGCTTTCTTTTTGGGTTTTGCTTCTCTTTTTTTTTTTTTTTTTTGTTTCCCCCCCCCCCAAACCAAAACCTCGTATTGATTTGTCAACATTTTCACTCCACTGAAATCAGACACAGTGTAAGTTCTTCAGAACCTCACCCACTTTCAACCATACAACCTCCAATTTTGGGGTTCACTGCTCTAAAATTATCAGGAAAAACACCAAACAACAAAAACTCCACACCAAAACCCCTTTGCTCCCTGTTTTTTCTTTCTGTGGAGATACAGTCCTAAGTTAAAAGGCATTTTCATACTGCTGATGTCAGATTCAAGACAAAGTGCATGTCTAAAAAGGACAAACTGCTGCAGCCAGTAACGAGGCTGCAGCAGAGATAATCAAACAGGAATTGTGCTATTGGCATATCAAACCAATCTTACACACACTGATGGCAGTCATTGGCTGGTACTATTTTGTAATTCTTGTCCATTTGTAAATTGTTTTTACTGTTTATACATACTTTTCAGACTGCCTTTCTTTTTGTAATTTATGGAAGGTTTATAAATGAATGATCAAAGCTTCCCCATTGTGTCTTCAGATAACGATGTAAATTACTGTAAGATACCGTGTGCTAGATTACAACATTTAATTAAAGGAAATAACTGGCCTAAAGTTGTGGTAAAGTACTGTGTGGGTGTGTGCATGTGTACAACTGTTGTGTATTATATTTTATATAAATAAATCATTTGATATTTTGTAGAGTGCAGTATGTTTCCTACATCCACTGTAGCAGCTGCTTGGTTACTGTGCCAGCTTTGCCTTCCTCCTGGCTCAGGCACACGAGGTAAGGCACCAAGGGCCCAGGGACAGATTGTTAAACACATGGTCATGGTGCAAGATCCCTGTTCACACACCGCACCCAGGTGGAGAAGGAACAGTCCACAGTGCCCATTTCCTGCCTTTCTGCAGCTGCACAAGGTCCTTCTCTATCAACCTCATATGATTAAACCCAGACCAGAATGAAAACCTGGGGCAGGTGGAAAGAGGTGATATGGAATGAGGAAGTAGTGACTAGGGTGAGCTACCACATCAAAAAGCCCAAACTATTTTGCCAAAAAAACCTTCAACCCTCTGCATCTTTCCATTGCAAATTTCATGTGGAAGAAGTTGGTAGAGTTCTCTCAGCCTAGGAAAGAAAAAAGCCTCAGCTGGATACAAGTTAGAGAACTCCCTCATTTTTCAGAGCTAGCCATGGCTGCTGAAGTTTACTGTAAAATAACAAAAGGATCATCTACATGCCAGACTGCAGCTTTCCAGAGAAAAAATGGTTACAAAGCTACTCTAGCAAATACCACATCTACGCTCAAAGCCCAGTCGAAGTACATAAGCAAATACATCAAACCAATAATGATTACAACAGCTTAACCTTTATTTAAATCTCACAAAGAAGAGAAACAAGATTCACAACAAGTTAGCTAAGAAAACCTGCACTAATCCAAATTCTTCCAGGTGCATTAGTTTGACTCGGGTACTGCAAAAATCTGAACTCCCATCCAGACAACTGCCATTTGCTTTACAAACTGAGCAGCTACTGCTGCTGAAGTTACCAATGAAAACCTCAGAAGTGCAGAACAAACCAATCCAAAACCATGAACAGTAAAACTATGTCCTTTTTGTGCCCATCAGTGCACTGACATTTCTGATGGAAATGACTCTTGTTTAACAAGCATGAGGTTAAACATTATCAACTACAAAGTTTAGCTCGTGTCAGTTATGAATGTGCAGTTGTCTAAAGCAATTGCTTCCCAATGTGTAGGAAATATGAAGTTACAATACTAAGCAAAAGTGTGGGAACAGGATAGTCCATTCTAAAGCTCACAGCCCCTGCAGCAGCATTCACTTTTTGTGGAGAGAACACTATAGTCCTGGATAACAAAGATGCTCTGATAGCTGTGGTAAGGTACAGGAATAATTTTGCCTCTGATGCTCAGTGGGGTAAGCAGCATACACAGCCACTTCCTCCTCAGCTATGCCAGCTGGAAAAAGCCACACTTCACTCCTCACTGCTCCTGGGAAGATTTAAGTCAGCACAAGCCAGTTTCTAGTTGGTTTGCAAGTCCCTTACAATGGCAAGTAGTAAAAACCTTTCTATGGGTTTTGCAGCACTAATGCAACCTGAAAACAAAGCTTTGATTAACCAAGAACGACTGACAGACTCTTTGTAAGGTATGAAACAGTTAAAGAGACATAATTTTGCCCTCATTTTAACAGCCAAGAAAACCAAGGATTCAACAGTTTGGAAGCATTTTGAAAATTAGAGGGGTAATGTGCTAGCTGGAAAAGTTTGGATTTTGGTCTGCATAACTATCTATCTATCTTGTATGCTGGAAGTAATTCTGTGTAAGACTTTCCAAATCATAAAGAACAAACAATGACCCTTTGTGAAGAAATCCAGAAAATCTACTGTAAGTATTAAACATAATAAATACTTGCATAGTTTTTCTAGCAAGCAGAGACCTGTTCAAACTGCAGCTCAGCTGTCTATTTGCCTGTTACAATGAAAGTAAATTCCACACCTGCACATATTACCCCATGCATAAGTCTCACAAGTAGCCAAAACTGAACCAAAACCCAAACAATTCTACATTCCTTAGAAAGGAACTTAACTACTCTGTTTGGATGGAAACTCAACTTCAAAGATAATAAAGTTTGTCTGAAAGCTGCAGACTTGGTTCTTTGTGAACACTCTGACCAACAAGGAAAGCCAGTTTATGGGCATACTGGCAAGGAGCAGGAACTCTGATAACACCCTGCAGAGGAGAGAAAGGAAAAGCAATTATTTTCAAGTAACACAGAGCCCTGGAATGCCAAAGGCTGGATACATGTAAAACTAATACTCCCTGTTGGTTATGCTGATTTGTGAAAATAACGTTACATACACTGAGCACATAATAGAAGAACCAATGTAAAACACTCAAACTTCCCAACTCCATTCCTCTCTTCACCCTGAAAAACCCTGTGACACAGGTTTACAGTCGATGCTGGGTCTTACCGAAGGTGGAGCATGGGGTAAGTCATGTTTGGTATTCATGATTACTAAAGTGACAGATCTAAAGCACATCTCAGGTACGAGCTGACTGTGTGCTGACCCTGATATGCAACACAAGCCTCAAGGGAAATAAAGGAACACAATTCCATCTCCACACAAAGTATTCCTGCAGGTAAGAAATAATCATTTCCATTTTGCTTTTGACACAGGATTAAGCAACAATACTCAAAACAACAAGCATTTTCCAAGGAGAATAATATTAATCTTAAGAGTTCAGAGAGATCAGGTAATTATACAACATCAAGTCCTCAAAGCACCACTCTAGGTCATGGGGCAGATTTGCAGCCTTTTGGGATCTGCATGGGTGTTCGACCTTCTTGTGGGTTGAAGAGAGCTGTACAATCTTAGAAGGCAAATGTTACCATATCCCAGAGGAAATACTTACCGACCAGTTATAGTACATGTGGCAAAGTTTGTAGGTTAAGCGCTGTATGTGGTCTGGTTTGAGGCCACTCGTGTCATAGACCACATTGTAATGAGTGGGTGTCACACAGCCATTTCTCACTGTCTGGCTCACAACAAAGAAATCATACCTGTAACAGAATATACAAACCCCAGAAGGGCTGATCTCCTTGGAAAAGTACAAATCCCCATGCATTTTGTCTTGCTTATTTTCTTCAAGTCACTTTATGCTTATTGAGTAAAGCCCAAATCTATGGTCAGGCTTTGGGCACAAAGCTCACTCTGTTTCTGAAAGATCAAGAGATCTGGAAGAACATGAATAATCTTATGATAGGGAACAAGTCTTGAGATCATGAAAATCTTAACCATTCATCCTATCCAGTTTTTCTCCTGCTAACCACCCTGCATATGTGCTTTGCCTATGCTCCTCATTTTTTCCAGCCCCTTGAGCAGTGTTTGGGGGTTTGTCACCTCTCACAACACTTGGAACACCTGCAGTGAGTTGGTACAATACATAAAAAGAACAGCAGAAGTACCTGTCAGAACTGTGCACTGCACTGTTCCCTTGACCAATGCCAAACCTTTCATCATGTACTGAACTGTCTTTGCATTTCCGAGATTCCTGTCCTGAAGCTCATGAAGTGACTTGCAAAGACTGGCTCATAAAATGCACCTTACAAAAGTAACAAAATGTATGGCAATGGCAAAACAACAGCCAAGCAGAACTGAATTTCAGAAAGGCAAGTTGGGCAGTCCTGGAAATACACACTCAGAACTAAACCTTTAAACACCAAACCAAGAATCACTGACAAGTGAAGCACACAACTCCTTAAAGTGCATGCAGTAATACTTGGGTGCATACTAATAGTGCATATTAGAAACCATGAAATACTCCAAAATGCATTTGTAAAATTAATCCTGTGAATGTCTTTCATCTATAAATTCACTATCATTTCTTTTTGAAGGGACAAAAGTGTGGAAAGTATTTTTCTATTTGATCCCACTTTAATATTGGATGTATTTCCCTTATTATCAAACAGGCTGCTGCCAAACACAGGTGTTACTTCTGGAGTAACTTACCATTCTGGTCTGGTAACCACTGAATCAACAACAGTGCCAGGGGGTGGGTTCTTAAGCTCTCCCTTAACCTCTTCGAAGAACCTAGAGTTCACTCTCTTCTTCACAACGATCACTGTAAGTCCTGGCCTGAAAAGAGAGGAAAAAAATAACACTATTCTAAAAAACTGCACTATAAGTATTCCAGGAGCAGAGTATCTAGAGCTCCAGGGCAATAATTTCACATATAAGACTCCATTAATTTAGGTAAATATATGATATGGTTCATAATTTTAGATTTTTAGTTTAGGTGCAACTTTGATACTATTTGTCCCCAACCTAACTTCATAGGGAGACAGAAATCAGACCAAAAAAGGATCTTCTAAATACAGATCAGATTTCTACTGTCACTCTACCCCATCTTTTCATATAGCAAACATCGTGTTTTAACAGTATTAATTACCATATCCATCAAGAACCCCTAAGGAATATGTGCTCATGTGTACCTCAGTCATGTGGTGTACTAAAAATGCCCCTACAACATTATAAGTCAGGTATCTGAAACCAACAGGAAAGCTTATCTGAGCTTAAGGAAAAATAAGTAAGGATGGAAAAACAACACCATCTTCGTCCACAACCACATCTTATATCCCAGTGTGTATGTCTCCTGCAGTATAAAAAGTTGGTGAAAAGAGACTTACTTGTAGTCAGTGCCAAAACTCCTCAAGCAATGCAGAATCTGAGGCACTTCGTAATTCACTAAAACGTTTAGCTGTCCATCTCCAATACCATCGCGGTACACAAAGATACGAGTGGGTAAATACTTATTCCACTGGAGCCAGGTCTTTAGAGCAGCTTAGAAAAATAAAGAGTAAAAACTGTTAGCTGGAAGGACAATTCATACCGAACCAAACACGGAGTTCTGTTCCTGGAGAAACAGTTTAGAAACTAAGATATTCAATCTTCCAGTGACCTGGAATGGGTAAGCATCATGTTACAGAAATATCACCTGTAGACAAAACTCTGGTTTACCAGTGTACTGACACAAAAAGAACCACCTTAAGGAACTGCTCCACTGGCCTCTCACAGCAAGGAGCTGTCCTCAAATCCAGCTCTGTTAAAACACCCTTTGAAGCACACTGGTAAGTAGTTTTTAATTACTGCTAAGAAATACATGAATCATTGAAAGATTGGATATAAAACACTATTAATTCTCAGCAATATTTACAACTTAAGAAATACATGAATCATTGAAATATTGGATATAAAATACTATTAATTCTCAGCAATATTTACAACTGTATTTTTCATCTGGTTTTATCCAAGTGCAAGCTGTTAACAGCTCCCCTCAAGGCAGCAGGGGAGGTGCGTTTTGAGGAAGCTAAATTGTCATTCCTTAGCTCTGACTCCACAGAGCAGAACTCCTTTCCTTACTTTGCAAACAGGCTTTGATTCCATCCACAATTTCCTGCCCAAGACTTTGAACAACACAGCGGGAGAACCACCTGTGAAGAACAAAATAAAAGATGGCCTTCAAAGCACTTCCCAGGCTTACTTCAATGAAGTTCTTTTTAAATGGCTATGACCACTTAGTCTTTATGGGTGTTGTGGGTCAGTGCAGCCAAGGAGGAGATGATACTCTGAAACTATTTCCCTCACAGATCCCCCGTGGTAAAAGTACCTTAGCACCACATGAAACTCCCCTCAATCAAAAAAAAACTTGCACACAAGTCAACTCAAGAGGCAGAAGAGCCTTTCACCCTGATGCTCTCTTCTCATCCCAGTCCCTGCCCCACCACTTGCCCCCTTTCCCCTTTCAAGGGATGCAGTGAAAACACATATACCTCTTCTCATCCCAGTCCTTGCCCCACCACTTGCCCCCTTTCCCAAGCACTATAGAAGGACAAGGTTATCACTTCAAGGGATGCAGTGAAAACACATATATCACAATATATTTCATATTAACAAGGTACAGAAAACCAACGTGGACACTTTCCTGACGGCCCACCACATCCAGGCTACTTTTCAGTTAGGGGAAAGACTTTGTTTTGTTGCTTGTTTTTGCCTTTAGCATTCAGATCTTACCGTGTCATTGTCTGATTCAAGCTGGCGACAAATCCTGCCACTGACTGCTTCCCTGAGATAGTGTCATGGTAACAGTCAATTCCCACAACCATTACCTGTTTCAGCTTAAAAGGAATCCATACAGAACATGTATTAGTACAGGAAGACATGCTATAGGGTAACAAGACCATGACATAAGCTGTATGGTTTCAGGACACTTATGTTACATCCAAGGCACTGAATTCTTGGATTAAATGTCTCCTTATGCTGTATTTCAATTCATGCCTCTTCTCACAGACACAAACTACCCAAAGAATACTCGACTTTCTTTTGGGGGGAAAAAGGCTTGTTTTCAAATAAGGCTTAATAAAGAAGATTTATCATTTAGTTACCATTAAGAAAATACTTACTGGGATCTCAACGCTCCAAAGCTCTCCCCCCATTTTACAGTTCATTTGTAAGGCAATTTTTGCTGCTACAGCCAGAACAGACTGATGTTTGCTCAGAGTGTGAGCAAGCACACACTGGCTTGGAATGGGACAGTCTGTACATAAGTATTTCTTGATGGCATCATATTTATCCTTTCGGGAACTGGACAAAATACAAACTACCTTTAAAGGAAAAAAAAAAGTCTGTGTAAGAAGCTGCATTCTCAGGTTTAGACAGCACTTAAAGAGTTCTTTAGGAGAAGTTTCTTATGCTCAAGAGAAATATTCAAGTATTCATAGTGAAAGAAATAACTGGAAAGTTTCAGTGTCTGTACTTCAGAGCCAAGTACAGAAGTTCTTATCCAGAAGGGTACTCATAGTTATTAGCATCAGGCTTGAACAGGAGTAGGGATGTAGTAGATACTCAGGAGCCAAGAGTTTTATTTTGGGGAATGAATCCCACTAGTGTTAAAACAGAGATACAAAATTATGGATTCAAATACATACTATATTCATGTCAGGGGTAACCTTTTGCTGTAAAGCCCTTAAATAAGCTTCTGTTCTATCTTCTACTTCAATCCTGAAAAGAAAGAGAAAAATGCTTACAGAAGAGAACCCAAACAGGTACTGAAACTTCAACAAAAGCATAAAAGCTCATTATGCATCAATACTGTACAAACTAACATTTATAGCTATTAAAAAACATACATTATTCACACATATGGAAGATTAAGAGGAATCACCCCCACTTAGGCTTCCAAAAGCAATGACATTCAGAGTTAAAAGCAAGCACAGGTACTCAAAGGAAAATATTTGCATTGAGAATACATCAGAATCAGAACACATCTTAAGTCAGTAGGAAAATATACATTCCTTCTTTTGTTGAATACAGCTCTACTTGAGAAGGTTTTGCTCAACACCTGTCTAATACTGCTGGTATGGACAGTGAAAGCTCTAAGAAATAGAAGCATGAGTAAGAAAGTCAGTCCCAAGAGAAAACTGAACAATCTGCATACTGAAAGCAACTTTGTTTCTTTACAAATCTCCAGGAGTCAGTGATGTGACACACTACACAATCTCCTCATTGAACAGTCCAGGCATGCCACCAGGCACACCTTACCATGGATAAAATGCTTTTTCCATCACTTACATTCTTGCCCTGTTCATTTTGATTCCCATAGGGGGGGTGACTTGAGAGAGACCATTAAGTAAGACACCAGCAGCATCACAGTTCTGCCGTGCGTATATCAATAACCAGTTCTCCAGAGGCACAGGTCGGATTAAGGGAACTCCCTTGGTTTCCCTTGTCCAATCAGCAAACTGAGCATGGTACTCCATCTGGAAAGAAGAGATGGCAAAGAAAGAAAATCAACAACCTACCAAACAAGCAATACCACAACTGCTTCCTGAGGCACTTCAAGAACAGACTGTAATTCTTCTGCCTAGAACAAATGACTTCATTTTTATCTGTTCTTTTACTGCTGTTGTCAGTAATTGAAAATAAGTTTTATTTGGCCCTGTCAAGAAGTGATACTCTTCACATGTTTCATTCCTAATTATGCAAACATACTGATGATTTCTAGCTCAGATGAAGCTGTTACTATCTGCTGCATAGACTTTGTGCTATGAAAACACAGCCGTTGATGTGTTATTTTTCTCCCATTTTTCTTTCTAATAAGGTAACAGCTTAAGAAAAAGAAAATTAGTATTATAAGGAAGACCTTTTAAGTAGCAAGAATTAGAAAAGATTTACAGCAGCCATTCGAAACAAAACAAATCTCTAGTACAGGGCAAATATATAATGTTTTATGACAATCTATGATTTAATTCAGATCTAGGTTATTCATAACAGAGGGTCTCCCTAGCTTTGGCTGAATGGACACTGTCTGTACTCTGTTCACTGAACTGAAATAATTAGAGGGTTTTCATATGAAAGCCTTGGTAAGTGGAAACTAGCTAGAAACATCCCTGTCTCCTAGTCTGCGTAGCTGAAATGACTTTGTTTGGACAGGGGGACTGTTCTGCAAGGAAGACACTATTGCTATGTAAGCCAGAAAAATCTTCAAGGCTTTTTAACCAGAACTTGTAAACAATTTAAAAAGTCTGCAAGTCTCCTGTTTGGATAAAGACTTGTGTATGATGTTTTCACCCATAATCCTTCATTTACAACCCAAAAAGTACTATTTCCTTCCATGAGTGAGAGATGCAGAAGATTTTAGAAGTGGATTAATTATTTACCACTTTTCCTCCTTGGAAGATCTTTTCTCCCGGAACAACTCTTCCTGAAAGGGACTCTAGCTCAGAATCAAAGCTCAAACCCCAGTCTCCCAGTTCCTTCTGAACGCTGTGGTCTCTGTTTAAAAACAAGATTCAAATTCAAAACACGAGAAATTTGCTCTTGCTGACTTTTCTTTTTTAAAACCAGTTGCAAGAAATCAGTTTCTCAGAGACCCAGAAGTACAGAAGATGCAAGGTGGTTTACCTGTGGATGTACTTCATGAGTCTCTCAATCTCCCTTTGCCTCTGCTCGGGTTGCAGTCGAGTGTGAGCAGCCAAGTCTCTCATCACGTTAAAGTCATTGCACATCTTCTGGCTTAGTCCTGGGAACAGCAATATCTTTTACTGAGCAAAAGGTAGTTTACTGAGTAAAAGTTAGTATATCTGCAAGTCATGCAGATGTCCTGCAGACACAAAGTGGCAGCAGTAGTACTGGAGGTTCTCAATTGCTCCCCCTACATACATTCCCATCTACGCAGAAACAAAAAATCTGGATTTTTGTCCTTGATAGGAAACCCCACAAGGCATTTACTTTTCCAAATCCAAACCAAACAGTGCTGAGACGGACAGGTACTCACATTTATACAAACAAAACCTTCCTACTGACCCTGTCAAAACACCACTTTCAGCAGACATGATGGTTTGACAGATGCTTTGATATGAAAAAATCCTACAGTACCTGCTACTGAGCACAGCTCTGGAATTAGAATGATAGGTCCTTGCATCAGGTTTCCTCTCTTCCTCTTGGGCTGATTGACCAGGACAGGCTGGTTCAAATCAGTGATTACTAAATTATATTGCTGTATTAGAAAGATAAATTGCACATTAATTTCCTCATAACGAGCACTCAGTTTTCTTAAGACTGATGCTCACTTTAGAAAATGAGTATTTTTCCTGAAACAAACAAAACCAAAAGCAACCAGCAAGTTTTTTCAATGAGCCCATCTAACTTGAGAGGAACTGGTTTTGTTAGAAAAGGACAAGCAGGGAAGCATTATTCTATCTGTGCCATCAAACTGTTGAGTTATAAGAGACAACAATGCTGCTGCCTTGCTTGAAGCACTATCATCTCATGAGTATCTAACAAGATTAGAATGCTTGTTCCAGTTCAGTAATGGACAAAGTTCCTGCCCCATAGAGCAATTTCATTCAAGAATCAAACAAGACTCCAAGTGAAGTTTCTGAAATTTAAGGTTCCCATAACCTCTCCTTGCACCTGGCAAGGAAGCTGATTTAAATTTTAATTTTAAAAACTAATTTTGTTTAATAAAGAAAACCAAACCACAGAAAGGCAACACAAGTTGCCAGTCAACAAATCTACTTCATAGTTTAACTGTTTCTTAGAGACTCACAGCACAGAAACCACTGAAGGGCAGCATTTAAAAACAAAACCATGGCATCACAGGAAAGGCAAGAATGAAGAGAAAATGTATCACTTATAAACTCCATGCTGAAGTAGAATGGATAATATAAATTTTGCTTTTAGTTTATTAAGTTCCATCTTGTTTCACAGTTGAAACTGATGTGCAGAAAGATTTCACAATTACAGTGGTAGCCTCAGTGGTAGGGAAGGTTAAGCCATGAAAGACATAAGCTTTGATTCAAAGAACCAGGAAATGATCAGCAAACTTGCTGAGGATACACTCTGCCCCATCTTCCTTTAACATTCCTGGCCATATTCAATTCCAGCTGCCTTTGGCTTTCCCAACCTCATTTCTGCATGCTGTGACACTGTATCTGTGTTCCTCCCCAGTAAGTCAACTTCTAACAATGCTCTACTGTTCCAAGTTAAAGCACAACACACACACAGTAAGTTTCCATACCTTTTTGTAGTAGTCCACATAGCTGATCTCAGTACCATCTGACTTTCTAAAGGTTCCCTTTGGACTGTTATCCCAGTCAATGTCATCAATTCTGTATGTTCTGTTATTGTACCTAAGTAAACATTTTCATCATTTTTTATTTAAATCTTAACTCAAATATAAAAGAAATCCAACTGTGGGACAAAAAAGTTAATGGCAGTACTCATGGAAGTTGGAAGTTTTGCTTCTATCAGAAGCAGTAACTTCAAGTTTCAGTTGGAACAGGCTCTCAATTCTACCCAAAAGCAAACAGAACTAACCCAGCATGTATTTCCTGCTTTTGGAAATGCTGTCATCTTGAATAGTTTGCCACCCTGACAATGACAGCATTTTCATGCTTTCTGATGCTTCATTGTATTCTTGAGGACATGGAGCATCCAAAAAAAGAGAGCTCTCTAAGACAAGAGTCCAAAGAGACTTACTTTGTCAGAACAATTGAACCGATCAGCTCTTTAGCACAGGCGTCTCTGAAGTAATCTTCTCCCAATAAGGAGTAAAGATTGTACATAGTATCCAACACTGTCTCACCACGAAGAACCTTATGGCTCACGTCTGCACATAACATGGTGCTTTCCTCATACTGGAGGATGGAAGTGGCATAGCCTGGCCACACCACCAACCTGTCAAAAGAGAGCATATGAAACCTTAACGTGCTTCAAAGCATCTTTATTCTCATCCCTTATTTCTGTCCCATTTTCACAGACTTCAGAAAGCAGTAAAGACACAAAGAAACCATTATGCAAATATAAACAAGCTCCTGAAAGTTAACAAAATGAAAAATATTTTACATGCAGCTATCTTTAGACAGCTTCAAGTAAGATTAATTGAATGATGAGGCTGGAACTGGAGTGAAAGAAAGAATGCCCCAAAAGGAATCCATTCCATGCTATTAGTCTTAAATCCTTCACATACAAAGTGTGTAGGGATTCAACACACTTTAAAGAGAAAAAGACCAACACTTTATCTAGTAGAACACTGTCTAGTTTCTTCCATCGACCAGGTTACGTAGGCTAGGTTAACAGCAAGGAGTACAGCACAGCCATATGATGGGGCCCAAGGCAAACTCAAGCTTACTAACATGTACAACAGGCCTAGGGCTAGCCAGGAGCACCAGCCACGTTGCACAGGATCCTGGCAGGGAATAGGGACAAGACATGACAGGTAGCAACAGGCTAGTTCCAGAATTACCCATCCAGTGGGGTATGGCAAGACATGAACTCACATGGCAGCTCAGCCAGCCTTGACACTCAGGAGCTGTAGAATTAAAGTATCAGAGTTCTCAGCCTTACAGCCCTTTCCACAAAGTTTCTGACACTGGAGTAGAATCTCCTAGCACAACACACACTTCTAACAAACAATGAGATCTTACACATGCAAGTTACTAAACTGGAAGAATGAGGTCTCATACTTCTCAGGAATATGTTTTAAAGCCCATGGTTTTATTACAAGACAAACCACCAGAGCAGTATCCAAATATTATCCCTTCTCCCTGCACCCCTCCCATCCTGTTTGCCAGACCTGTGACTAGGGATGCAAACTGGATCACTGGGGTTGTAAAAATTACGTCCAATCTGGTGAAAATTCAGCATCTTCAAAATCCTAGAAGTTGAAACATGGATGTCATTTAGCATTATTATTCAGTTTATTACACCATGCACGGTCCTATCCCTCTGCACAACCTCTTTTTTTGCTCATCTGACTAGATAAAACACAAACTTTTCATTAAACCCAATTTAGAAAGGTCATGGACACTTATTAATAACAATCAGATGAGAATAAATTAGCATGCAATCCAACCCTTCACCAACCAGTTGCAGTCCAAACAAGCTACATCTCAGCTGAACCAGATTACAATATTGCCACACAGTAACAACAGCCACAAAGGCTTACAACTTTACATTTTTAGTACTTCTTTGGTGTAGCCTATTCTTTGGAACAGAAAAACTTAAGTCAGATGTTTTTAGAATGACTTCTTATAAAGATTTAATTTGTACAGCAAACCTTCTAAAAATCATGCTATAGAAATGCACACATGAAGGCGATGAAGGAAGCAGCTCATTAGTCAGTGTGAGTGTTATCTTCACATCTTCCTCATTTCGAGTCCTACTAATCAGTTCAGTGACCTGAGAAAACAAAATGAGGTTAACAAAACCAGAGGCAAACAGGCTGTATCTGGACTTTGCTCCATTAATACCCAACTGAACTTGTACGTTAAGATTCTAAGCAGTAACTCAAGACTAACTGAAACAGGAATTTGATTTCCTACTAGGACTGGAAACCACAACCTGGAATGCTTTGCTCAGCTGGGTGAAGATGACTAATGGAGGCTCTCCTCAGAGCAGCTAAATTAAAGATGAAGATAGGTTGATCACTTACCAATTACCATTACAGGAAGAAATCACAACGTGAGGAAATAAACTTAATTTATTGCCAACTAATATGTATTTAATTACTGATTCAGGTACTGGGAGGCAAAAAAGACAAATATTAGAGCACATAGTGAAAACATCTATCCCCACTCCCTTTTTCAAACTCAGCTTCACTCTGGACCTCTCTGTGAACACCACTGGCTATGCTCAGTCCCTCCAGTGAGGCAATGAGTGGCACAAGGGGCAGAAGGGAGGAGGGAGGGGTTACCATCAGTACACAGTGTTTTCCCTCTGCTGCTCCTTTCTTCTCAGATTTTAATTGTGCTCTGGCATTTTCCCCTCCTTTTTACATACCCAGAGGTGCCACCAACTTCATTGGTCTAGGATGGGTCTGTTGTGAAGTTGGCTAGAAATGACTGTGTGCAACACAGGGCAACCCCTAACCCCTTTCCTCAGGAGCCACCCCAGACCCCACCAGCTACCAAAATATTGCCACATACACCCAGTTCATCCACCCTTTCAATTACGTTGGATATTTAAACACAGAAAAGATGGAAGTTGACAGAAAGCAGAAATACTGCCTGTACTATCCACTTCTGCGCAGAGGATTATTCTAACCTACCGAATTTAAGCACTAGAACCACGAGTTTATTCCCTA